CCCCCCCGAAATGACCTCTGGGTGTGGCTGAGATGGAGTGACTGGCCAGGGTCAACCAGCGGGCAGGGGGAGGTTATGAACCCAGGGCTCCCTGGCCAGCAGAAGGAGACTAGTTTATACAGAGCAGATTCAACCTTGGCAACCTTGACAGGAGCTACCGAACGGGACCTTTCTTGGCTCGAGATGAGGACGTGGGGAGGTGGGACGTCGTCCTTCCGTGACCATAAGGGGGGCTTCCTTTAAGCTCGGAGGGGAGGGGGTCTGGTTCCACTTGCCTCCGTCAGGAAGTTGATTTTAAAGCCCGTCGTTTTGTTGGTCCTCGGCTGCCCGTGGTTCAGGTAGTTGCCCATCGCCAACACGAACTGCAAGGAGAATCCCTTGTGAGTAAAACAGCAAGGAACACCCAGTGCCCCCCCCTCCAGGCAGCTTCCTTCCTTCCTCTCCCTTATCCCTCCAGTGGAGGGCAGGGAGGAGGAGAAGGAGAAGGAGAAGAAACTGGATTTATATCCCGCCCTGTACTTGGAGTCTCAGAGCAGCTTACAATCTCCTTTCCCTTCCCCTCCCCACAACCGACACCCTGTGAGGTAGGCCGGGCTGAGAGCTCTGACAGAAAGTGCTCTTTTTCAAGGACAGCTCTTATCAGAACTATGGCTTGCCCAAGGTCATCCAGCAGCTGCGAGTGGAGGAGTGGGGAATCAAACCTGGTTCTCCCAGATCAGAGTCCGCGCACTTGACCACGACACCAGACTGGCTTTGCCAGCATCCCCACTGGTTTCAAGGAGGTGCAGCTGTCTCCCACGAGCAAAGCATCGTCCGTCAGATGCCTGCCTGCTGAGAGGCTGTCAGGTGCCGAAGAGTCCGGCCAAAGGGGAAAGGGTCAAGCCTAAGAGCCCCTGGAGAAGACAGTTTCAGAGGACGGCCGTGTTGGTCTCCAGCAGCAGAGCGAGATTTGAGCCCAGTAGCAACTTAGGGACCCACCAGATTTTCGGGGAAAGAGCTTTCGAGGTACCCTGAAGATCTTGCTGGTCTCCAAGATACTGGACTCAAAAGCGGGCTGTTCTGGAGAAGAGAGGAACCAGCTGTCTGAAGCGGGACATGTTCCAATGAAGGGTTGCAGGTAGGGTGGCCAGGTCCAGGTAGGGAAACTCCTGGGAATTTGGGGGTGGAGCCTGGGGAGCTCAATGGGGCACAGAGAGTCCCACCCTACAAAGCATCCGTTTCCTCCAGGGGAACTGATCTCTGTCGCCTGGAAATCAGTTCTCATTCTGGGGGATACCTAGTGCCCCACAGGTATGCTTCAGCAATATTTCAAAGTAAAGACATTGGATATGTTGTCGAAGGCTTTCACGGCCAGAGTTCCTTAGTTGTTGTAGATTTTCCGGGCTGCCTGGCCGTGGTCTTGGCATTGTAGGGCCTGACGTTTCGCCAGCGGCTGTGACTGGCATCCTCAGAGGTGAGCATTTTGTGTTTTTCAGGACAGGAAACATGCCCTATTTATTTTTAAACTCTCTTCTTTAGTGTTGAAATTGTATTTATGTTTATGAATTCCAATAGCTTCCCTGTGTAATCTGACATGGTAATTGGACGTGTTGTCCAGCCTTTCAACGTCTTGGAATAAGATACTGTGTCCTGTTTGAGTTAGGCTATGTTCCGCCTGGGGAACTCCTACAAGATATTGACTCAGCCCTACCCCACCTTCCTGAGTAGATATAAATTACCTGCCTACCATTTTTCTTCTCACCTTGACACAGAGAGTACTCCATCTTTCTGTGTTATACCTCTGAGGATGCCAGTCACAGCTGCTGGCAAAATGTCAGGTCCTACAATGCCAAGACCACAGCCATAGAGCCCGGAAAATCTACAACAACTAAAGATATTGGAGTCCAGCACCCCACCCAAAGGCAAGACAGCCCCTCCCCATACACGTTTGTCTGCCAGATCGACGTATTCAGTTCACCCCACCCCACATCATATGCCAGAAGCAAATCCACTGCATGACCGGGTGGTGGGGGAGCAGAGGAAATAAGTAGTATAAGCTAGCCCACCTAAAGACAGGAAAGAAGAAGAAGAGGAGGAGGAGGAGATTGGATTTATCCCCTGCCCTTCACTACCCAAAGGCGTCTCAGAGCGGCTCACAAACTCCTTTCCCTCCCCCTCCCCACAACAGACACCCTGTGAGGTAGGTGGGGCTGAGAGAGCTCTGACAGAAACTGCTCTTTTTCAAGAACAGCTGTGCCAGAACTATGGCTTGCCCAAGGTCATCCAGCAGGTGCGAGTGGAGGAGTGGGGAAATCAAACCCAGTTCTCCCAGATTAGAGTCTGTGCACTTAACCACTGCACCAAACATTACCCAGTTTAATCTGGGGGATGGAGCAACGGCGGTCTGTGACCATGCATGCTGGGTCAGCTGCCCTGTACGTTCCCCAGCCACTGCCTGGCCTTATGGATCTGCACGGGTGCAACTGGGCATTCACAGGTTCTGGGGGTGGGGATAGGGTGGCCCAGGCAGAAATGTCCACAAGGGTCGTGAGTTGGGGCGGGGTTGGGGCCAACGGCAGGGCGAGTGAGTGGCAGAACCTCGGAGGACCTGCTGGGCCGTCTGCGGAGGAGCCGGGACTTTGGAGGGCCACCTCTTGCTGGAGACCTCTCCCCGCCCCCCCAGCCCCTGCCTGCTCCAGATGGGAGCGATTCTTCCCCCGCAGACTCAAGTGTGCCACTCCCTCTCGGCCACCCCGTGATCCTGTCGCGCGGCTCAAAGTGTTTGAGCCCACCGACAGTCAGGCGTACAGAGATCCTGGGGGTGGGGGGTGGGGCCAGCAGCTGGAATCTAGCTCCCAGAGAGGCCCCTCTGAGTTAATCGGTAGCCAGCTAACGACTCCGTGGGGTTAACCAGGTGTTATTCATGGCATCATTAACAGGCCTGAAGACTCAATTCGAAAAATGTCTTCACACGTCCCGGTTATTCTTTTCCTCCCCGGGGACAAATTCTGCTGCGCAAAAAGACGTGAGTGTGGAAACCACTTTCCCCCCATTATGCTGGTTCCAATAATAACAGCAATAATAGCGGTCAGTTCATTTTTATCCTATTCTTCCTCGAGGGCAGGATATACAGTTCATCCCTTTTCCATTTTAAGGAGAAGAGGAGGAGATTGGATTTATACCCCGCCCTTCACTCAGAGTCTCAGAGTGGCTTACAAACTCCTTTCCCTTCCCTTCCCCTCAACAGACACCATTTGGGGTAGGTGGGGGCTGAGAGAGCGCTGACAGAAACGCCTCTTTTTCAACGACGGCTCTGACAGAACTATGGCTTGCCCAAGGTCATCCAGCAGCTGCAAGTGGAGGAGTGGGGAATCAAACCCAGTTCTCCCAGATTGGAGTCCGCATACTTAACCACTACACCAAACTGGCTCTCATTTTACAGAAGGGAGAAACCATTAGTGATGATTGATGTACCTCTCCTGTTTTGGCTGTCACTATTCCAGGTCCCAAACCTGCTTCCACTTATATGTTCACTGAATGTCCTGCATGGTGGGGTTCCCACGTCTCCCCTGGCCATCAGAGGGGGAGGGGGGAGAAGGGTTGCCATCTCCAGGCTGGGGGACTTATCCACTACACCAAACTGGCTCTCATTTTACAGAAGGGAGAAACCATTAGTGATGATTGACGCAGCTCTCCTGTTTTGGCTGTCACTATTCCAGTTCCCAAACCTGCTTCCATTTATATGTTCACTGAATGTTCTGCATGGTGGGGTTCTCCCCTGGCCATCAGAGGGGGAGGGGGGAGGCTTGCCACCTCCAGGCTGGGGAACTCCTGGAGATTTGGGGGTGGAGCCTGGGGAGGACAGGTACCTCTGTGGGGTACAGTTCCACAGAGTCACCCCTCCAAAGCATCCGTTTTCTGCAGGGGATGTCTGGAAATGAGCTGTAATTCCTGGGGCTCCCCAGTTCCCATGATCTGGAGGCTGCCATCCCTGTTGCAGGGTCATGCTCCAGACAGATCGTCCCAGCATATGATATGACTCTCTGCTGTGACTTCGAGGCATGGGTGATGTGTGTGTGTTTATGTGTGCCTTGCACAATACTGCATGGGAGAACAGGTTAAAGACACCCGGCCTTGGCCGTGCATCAACAGCACAGCTCATTAGCACATTAGGCTGCACCCCCATGTTACCAGAAGTATGGTTATCCAGCCACACCCACCTTTTGCTTGTTATTCTGTTTACCTTGTTTGTTGTCAAAACCCAGGGCCTTTTTTGTAGCAGGAACTCCTTTGCATGTTAGGCCACACACCCCTAATGTAGCCAATCCGAATGAGTTTCTGCTGTTGGGTGTGGCCTATTATGCTAATGAGTTACTGCTGGGAGCCAGCCGGAACTCCGTTCCTGTGCGTTCCTGCCCCAAAATAGCCCTGCATGTGGGAATACTGAACCAGACCCCCACCCCACCCCCCTGCCATGCAGCCCGTCCATCTGTCCATCTGCTGACCCATTCTGCCAGGCCAGGGCCCGTTCCAGCTCACCTGCAGGACAAACTGGTCCGGCTCGCTCAGCTTGCCGGGGTCCCCTTGGTAGCCGTGGTACTGCTGCACCTCCTCACTGTCGGGCGCGTAGAGTAGCAGCTGCTTGATGTGGGTGGCCTCCAAGCGGTCACTCTCCATGGTCAGGAGGATCTGGCGCAGCTCGATGTGCGAAAGCTTGAGGTGGGCGATCAGGATGGCTGGAGGGAGAAGGCGTTGGCAAGGGTGTCAGAGAAGAAGAAGCAGAAGAAGGAGAAGAGAAGAGATTGGATTGATACCCAGCCCTTCACTACCCTAAGGAGTCTCTCAGAGCGGCTCACAAACTCCTCTCCCTCCCCCTCCCCACAACAGACACCCTGTGAGGTCGGAGAGGCTGAGAGAGCTCTGACAGAAACTACTCTTTTTCAAGAACAGCTCTGACAGAACTATGGCTTGTCCAAGGTCATCCAGCAGCTGCGAGCGGAGGAGTGGGGAATCAAACCTGGCTCTCCCAGATTAGATTTTGTGCTCTTAACCACTACACCAAACTGGCTCTCAGAGGAGCGCCTGCAAAGGCCCCTGGCATTTTGGACGAGGCCCCGCCGCCCACAGCGCGCGAATCGAACCCTGCCGGCCGAGTCATGCAGCCGACCGTGCAACTGCACCCCGGGACCCCAGAATTCCTTGCCGCAGTGCAGGAGGTTGCCTGTGGCTTCGTTTGCACCCTTCAAAATATTGTTGCCCCCACTGCCAAGGGACCTCTCAAGTTTTCTGTGCAGGTTTCCCACTCGTAAGGTTGCCAGGTCCCTGCTAGCCACCGGCGGGGGATAGAGGGGCAGGACTGTCAGATCCAGGTCGGGAAACTCCTGTGGATTTGGGGGATGGAGCCTGGGGAGGACGGGGACCTCAGTGGGGCACAGTGCCATACAGTCCACCCTCCAAAGCAGCCATTTGCTCCAACTCATCGCTGTCGATCGGAGTTGAGCTGTAATTCCGGGGGATCCCCGGGTCCCACCTGGAGGCTGGCATCCCTATTCCCAGCCCGGAAGACAATGGGAACCCCAGAGGTCCATGGGAGAGGGCAAGGCCTTCTGGGAAGGCTCCCACGGGTTCGGGCAAAGGCCGGACTTCGGCTCTCGTTTACCTTTCCAGACACGCGCCTCTCTGCCCCTGGATCCACGCGGTACCCTGCCGGCACGCTCGATATCTACTTACACATGTTGTAGGCTTTTTTGTGCGAGAGGATCTCTACCACGTCTTTCTTTTTAAAGGACTCTGGCAAGGGGCTCGGCTCTGGAAGAGAAACTGAAAGATTTAATCAGAGATTAAGGACAGGGTTTCGGAGGAGCCCAGGAAAGAGAAAGGGGGAGGGAGGATAATAAGATGGTCACAATTATGGGATAAGGATGAAGGTAGGAGGTTGGTGGGGGGTGGGGGAGACAAGCAGAGCAGCCGGCCTGGAATGAAGCATGCTGGGGGATCCGGGAACCCAGCCACGGGCGTGAGCACCGTGCACCCGCAGGGCTGGAGGGTGGGAGCGCGGCTGTAAAAAGCAAGACAAGACATGAGATCCTGGATCATCCGGCACCCACCCCCAGCCCACCACAGCACACGTGGATCCTTCCAAAAGATTCCTTTGCAGCCTTGCTTCTACTCATGAGGAACAGATTCCCTTTGCTTCCGGCCCATCTCCCTCAAGGAAGCGACAGCCGCCAAGCTCACGCCTCTTCTACTCTGTCTCTCATAGCCTTCTCTGCTTTTTGGGGTTGGGGGGAGGACTGGGGATTTTTTTTTTTTATTGTGATACCTAACATAGATATTACCTAGCATAGAGCAGAGGCCACTGGGGGAGTGGGGGGGGAGGGAGCTGTGGATTTCCCACATTGTGTGGGGGCTGGACTAGATTACCCTTGGGGGTCCCCCCAAGCTTTATGTTTCTGCGTTTAAACAGCCGACTGAGATGAGAAAGATGGCCAAAACCACCTCCGTTGCCACTTTGTTGTTGTTGTTGCAGTCAAGTAATAGCTGACGTATATAAGCAGGGGTCATTTCCTGCAGGAGCGCACAGGAGCGGAGCTCCGGCTGTAAAGAGCCCAGGGGGCGGGCACATGCCACAAGCCCCACCCCCTGCTCCCAGCAGCCCTCAGTCAGAGCAAGAAGCAGCCAGGTAAGTTGCAAAGCCAACAGATCCAAAACAGTCCAGTGGCACCTTTATGGCCAAGGTTTATTCAGGTACAAGCTCTCCCTCCTCTGCGAGGACAGATCTGCACGTTTCCCCCCCCCCCAATAGCTAGCAATCCAAAAAAGTCCAGTGGCGCCTGAGCGGTGGGTGTTGCCTTCTGACACACTTCCGGTGATGTCAGGGGGTGTGGCATATGCAAATAAGTTATGCTAATGCGTTATGCTAATGAGCTCCTGCACCTCTTTTTCTACGAAATGACCCCTGTATATAAGGTTACATAAACAGCTGACTTATATAAAACCTATAAGGTTTTCAAGGCAAGAGACGTTCGGAGGTGGTTTGCCATGGCCTTGAGGACGACCCTGCTTAGCTCCCAGGTTCTCGAGGCCCTTTCTTACACACCCAGGGAAATGCCGATTGCCACTTTGGAGTCAGGAAGCAATTTTCCCCAGACCAGTTTGGCCAGGGACCTTGGAGGAGTTTTTTTGGTCATCTTCTGGGCATGGCACAGCGGTCACTTGGGGTTTGGAGGGAGAGGTGTTTGTGAATCCCCTGCATTGTGCAGGAGGTTGGACTAGATGACCCTGGAGGTTCCTTCCACCTCTGCGATTCTACGATTCTATGACGACTTGGCTAGCCTGGACTATCTAGGTCAGAGACTGTTGCCACTACAGCGTGTGGAAGACCAGGGATCTTCTCTCCGGGGCTGGCCTCTCTCCATAAAAGATTGGGAGCATGTGGGCGGGGGACCTCTGCTTTTGCTCGTCATGGGTGGGTGGGTGGGCCATCACCATGGCCGTGGCCCTCCTCGTGCCCACACTGGCCCCTGGGACACAAAATACAGAATGGCAGGGAAGCCCCACGCCAGCATCCAGGGGACAGGACACGATGCCAGGCTGGGGCAGGGAGCGCGTGTAGACCTGACACAGTAAACACAGAGAATCAACAAACAAGGTCCCTAGAGAGGACGAAGGGGAGGGCAAGGCCACACTGCCATGGTGTCCGCAGGCCAAGGCAGACGGGAGAGCTGGCACGCTGTTGCCGTGTGGGCCACGAGCTGTCCAACTTCCCGAGATAAGCGCTGCCCATGAATGCACGTCCCTCCAGGGCCAGGAGAGGTGCCCACTGGCGCACCTGGCAACACACACAGACACACACACCGGACTCGCCTGGGGAGCCCATGTTCCTGTCGTGCCCCATCTCCGGCGGCCCCGGTACTCACTTGCAGGCTTCTGGGTTCCGAAATGCAGCTCCAGGTCAAGGTATTTGACCATGTCGCTCAGCTTGTCGTAGTCTGAGTCCTCCCCAAGCTGTGCCAAAAAGGAAGGAAGGAGAAGGTCGGTGACCTGCGGGTCCAGGCCAAAGGGAAGGGAGCAAACACGCCCTTTGCTCCAAATCATTCCCACCAAAGACACGCCGTGTTCCCGTGGATCAACAGTTTGGGGTCAATGTCTTTGCATCTCATGCAGTACACACACAGAGAGAAGCACAGGCTAGGGGGGGGGACTGTGAACGAGGAAGGAAGCAGGGAGCCGGCGTGGCAGACCGGTTAGAGTGTCAGAGTATCCGGGAGACCCAGGTTCGAATCCACATTCCTGCCATGGGGGCTCGCCGGGTGACCTGCTACCCGTCACGCGCTCTGAGCCTAACCTGCCTCACAGGGTCGTTGTGAGGATAAAATGGAGGAGAGAAGAACAATGTAACTGCTTTGGGTCTCCGTCGGGGAGAAGGGCGGGATACAAAGGAAGTGAACGAAATAAATCGGCATTGCTGTACAACCATTCCTTCCCTGGGGCATCCCCCGAGTCTTTATGGACAACGTGCAACCCAATCCTTATTGAAGATTTGATTGGAGGGGGTGTGGCTCAGTGGGAGAGCCTCTGCTTGGCATGCAGAAGGTCACAGAAGATCCCCGGCATCTCCAATTGGGGTGGAGGAGGAGGAGGAAGGAAGGAGGAGGAGGAGACTGGATTTATACCCCACCCTCCACTACCCGAAGGAGTCTCAGAGTGGCTTACAATCTCCTTTCTCTTCCTCTCCCCACACTATGTGAGCAATATTCTCCCTCTAAGCTGTGGACTCTTGAGCAAAAACTCTACTTTGTGAGCCACCGGCATTAAAGTTGTGAGTGAGCAGTTTGGCTGCTGCATACATTTTTAATTTTTTTAACTGAACTATAATTAAAAACATTATTACATCTATAGATATATACTGCATGAATTAGTTTGCTCTGGAGGCATCCTTCCTGAGCTAAGACCACAATGTGTGAGCTGGAGGCTAAAAACCTGTGAGCTAGCTCACACTAACTCAGCTTAGAGGGAACACTGCCTGTGAGGTGGGCGGAGCTGAGAGAGCTCTTTCCAGAACTACCATTGAGAGAACAGCTCTGAGAGAACTTGTGACTGACCCAAGGTCACCCCAGCAGCTGCATGTGGAGGAGTGGGGACTCAAACCTGGTTCTCCCAGATTAGAGTCTGTGCTCTTAACCCACTACACCAAACTGGCTCTCTGCCTCAGACCAGGTGATGTGAAAGGCCCTTTTCTGCCTGAGAGACCCCGGAGAGCCACTGCCAGTCTGAGTAGGCAATACTGTCTTTGAGGGATCCAGGGGGGTCTGATTCAGTTATCAGGCAGCCTCACGTGTTTCCTCTATATCACACTGACAGCCCAAGTTCATGGTTTCATCTCCAGACTGCAGAAGAAGTCCAAGGGAGCCTAAAAATTATAACAGCTGGATTCGAATCCAGTAGCACCTTAAAGACCAACAAGGTATTTTGGGGTGTATGTTTTGGAGAGTCAAAGCTCCCTTCAGCAGGGGAGAAGAAGGAGGAGGAAAGGAGAAGGAGGAGGAGAAGAGATTGGATTTATACCCCGCCCTTCACTCGGAGTCTCAGAGAAGCTTACAATCTCCTTTCCCTTCCCCTCCCCACCACAGACACCCTGTGAGGTAGGTCAAGCTGAGAGAGCTCTTTCGAGGACTGCTCTGAGAGATCTTGTGACTGACCCAAGGTCACCCAGCAGCTGCATGTGGAGGAGTGGGGAATCAAACCCGGTTCTCCCAGATTAGAGTCTGCGCTCCTCACTACGACACCAGACTGCAGCAACAACCCGTCACCTGCTGGCCAAGCCAGATCAGTCCCTCCCCAGCCAGGAACTTCTCCAGCTTTGGCTTTCCCCATCTGATGAAGGGAGTTTTGACTCTCGAGAGCGGACACCCTGAAAATCTTGTTGGACTCTGCCTTTGCTGCTAGACTCTAATCTCTCGTTCTTCTGCAACACGGCCACCCTCGGAAACTAAGAGCTATAAAGGGGCACAGCCTTTCAGGTGGCTCAGTGTCCGTAGCGCAGCTGACACGGCACGGAAATTAAAGCAGCAGCCTTCCTTTTACCATTTGAGTGTGAATCGGTTTGCAAGGGTGTCCGTTCTTCTATCTGAACCAAAGATTGTTTCTCCGGTTTGGTGTAGTGGTTACGTGCGCGGACTCTGATCTGGGAGAACCGGGGTTGATTCCCCCACTCCGCCACTCGCAGCTGCTGGATGACCTTGGGCAAGCCATAGTTCAGTCAGAGCTGGCCTTGAAAGGACAGTTCTGGAAACAGCTCTCTCAGCCCCACCGACCTCACAGGGTGTCTGGTGTGGGAAGGGGAAGGGAAAGGAGTTCATAAGCTGCTCTGAGACTCCAAAATGAAGGGCGAGGTATAAATCCAGTCTCTTCCTCCTCCAGTTCGGTGTAGTGGTTAGGTGTGCAGTCTCTAATCTGGGAGAACCGGGTTTGATTCCCCGCTCCTCCACTTGCACCTGGCTGGATCACCTTGGGCAAGCCATAACTCTAGCACAGCTGTTCTTGAAAAAGAGCAGTTTCTGTCAAGAGCTCTCTCAGCCCCACCTACCTCACAGGGTGTCTGTTGTGGGAGGGGAAGGGAAGGGGATTGTAAGCCGCTCTAAGACTCCTTTGGGTAGTGAAGGGCGGGGTATAAATCTAATCTCTTCTTCTTCTTCTACCCCACAGGGTGTCTGTTGGGGGGAGGGGAAGGGAAAGGAGATTGTAAGCCGCTCTGAGACACCTTTGGGTAGTGAAGGGCAGGGTATAAATCCAGTCTCTCTCCTCTCTCCCTCCTCCTCCTCTTCTTCTTCTATTTTGGAATTCCACCCCCCTCCCCGATCATACCTGTCCCCAGATGGTGCCTTCGGAGTTCTCCACCTGCTCCCAGCGCAGCCGCTTGACGCTCATGTGGTGGGACTCGCTCCTGCGGTGGACGATGCCCCGTGGCACCGGGGGAGGCATGCAGGGGACCGGCAGCGG